CGCTTCATCCACATGATAGTGAGTAACAAGTTCGACTACACTATCTTACCTGAAAAGCATAATTGTTACTAACTCTGTGTTGATTTTTAATGCCCTCTGCTACTGAGGGGGAGGCAGCTCTTATGTTTATTTTGCATTTTTATTCCAAACCGGAGGTTGCTATTCCACCACAATTTCAGCAAAGCTATTCAAGCCAAAAATCACTGGTAACAGTGCGAGGCCGCGGGGTTGTGCCGACTGTGAGTGTGCCTGCAGGCTTGTAGGAATGATTGACATCTGGTCAGCCACACCTTTTATCTCTGATTGGTTGTTTTTCCTCAAGGTTGGTGTTTCTTAAAAACTAATTAGAGGTTCAAGATGGCGCCAAAGAGGACTGATTTATTTTCACACATCATTTTACTAATGTCATATTATGAAACCCAAAACCCCCACCAAGGAAGTAACGTTTTGGTCGTGATTTTTTTTTTGGTCTATTTTTGTTGTATCAACTCGTATTGTCTTTCTTTGTTACGATCTTATTTTGACCAAAATAGTGATATAAACTCTGACCAAAATATGATGGGAAGATCCATGGGAGTAGTCACCTGATCGCCATGTATTAAAAACCCACACATAAGGGAACAGCTTATTAAAACATACCAAACAGTGAATACTGTGCTGTTTTATCATTCATGGACTTTGTTTCCAGCTCCCATTTTACAGTTTAATGTGGAATAAAATGATTGATTGAGGCATGACATAAGGGACTCCAGTCAATAATGAATAAAAAATATATGACGCTAATAAGTTGGGGGGGGGGGGGTAAAGAGAAGCGACTCTTCGGGAGGACACACCAAGGTGAGGTGTTTTAGCCTCTGCTTTAAATCTCTCTGTCCTCCGTGTATCTGAATAGCACCCTGCACCCCGGCCATCTCATCTCAGTGCTGCTGGTCAAATCCCCTTAGCTAAATCAAATGGTGCAGACAATTGGAGGTGAGGTCGGGCGCGGAGCAAAAGGGAACAATGCTTCTGTGATATTCCATCTCAGGCCTGCAATGTGCTGCACATAATTGGAAAGCCTTTTATTATTTGACTCCCATTTGACTGTGATGTACAAGGCAGGAATGCAAACACGACAGGCGTAAAGACGGCGGCGGGCAGAGGAGGAGAAGTGCGCTTACTGCCCATTTCCTACCTTGACATCACACGTTTAGCCACATCTGGACGCTCGCCATCGTAATATCCAAATGGTTTACCTCGTTCTATCGAATGTTTTAAATTGCTGAATAAATTTAAAAAAAATAAGAACTAAAATTAATAATTGTAATTTCCCCCCTGACCCCTTTGTTCATAAACATTATTCCAAACTTGATAGTAAAGAAAATGCACAGATTATTATTCCGTTTCTGGTTTAGTCTGTAAGATATTGAGTGTTAATCATTGTTTTCCAAGTAAAAGCAGGGATGTTTGCAAATGTATCTGATGAAACGCAACTTTGATGGAGGACGACACAAATTGGAGAATATTTAGTCTTGAGAGGCTAAAATTACATCTGTAAATGAGAATCGATCAAAATAGTTTTTAAGTTGATAGTCGATTCATTGCTGAGTAATCGATTAATTGTTTGCACGTCGAATTATTTTACAACATGCTCACCAGTTCTGAATCTGAATTCAACTTCCATTCCTTATTCAAGCCATTCACTCAGTGATTTCACAGTAGCTTAAGCCTTTGCCGAGTGCGTTTCATGGATTTTTATTTGATGTGTGTCAATAGAAATGTATTCAAAGCACCGCTGAAAGGGGCCAGATTTCATTGTGGGATGTTTGCTTCCGCTATGAGCAAAATCATCTCAGTGCCAGCGAGTCATTCATGCTAAAAGCAGAGAGCGCGCTGACCGATAAATTCCTGTAAGTCAATGCTCTCCCTCGTCTCCTCGCTCAGAAATAAAACCGTGCCATTATGAATTAGCATACAGTACCTATGGCAACCGGCAACCTCTCTCTCAGTCTTTTGTAATTTTTGTACAGTCGTCTGTGACTGACTTGAAATGGCTGCCGCTCAATGCCACGGTTGATCATGAGGCACCTTTCATGAAAAAGTAATTCAATGCAGATTCTTCTAATTAATATATCACACCGCAGCAGTGATTTTTTTTTTAATCCCTGCCTAAATCGAATGACACGTGATGATGTATTACAAAAAGACTGACCACTGTTGTCCTGTCTTGGACTTTGTAAATTGGCACCGACCCAACAGACCTTAAACCTACAAACAACTTGCCAGGCAGGTTGAGTTGAGAAATTGGGAGTTCCACAAGGCTCCTATTGTGAGTGTGTGTGTGTGTGTGTGTGTGTGTGTGTGTGTGTGTGTGTGTATCTCTGTTTTACCCTAAATTTAACATAGTATTTCCATAACAGCATGTTTCTGAGCACATATAGCAAATGGAATCTTGCTAGCTGCTTGCCATGTTTCCAAAATATAGACTGGAACACACACACACACACACACACACACATTTAAATGAATAAAATGCCACACCTCAAATACATAAAACATAGTTTCCTTTACTGCAGCAGCATACCCAATGGGCGTTAAACCCGGCTTTTTTTCCATCTTTTCCACAACACAAATCATCTGCACAGCATATATGGCATCTGTAAAGCTGACGCTTACATGGAAGTTTAAAATGCAGCTGCATGCGGTTCTTGCATTCTCCTTTATTCTCGTTTTTGAACCGTCGGCCTGTGACACACACACACACACACACACACACACACACACACACACACGCACGCAACAGTCTTGTTTTTTCAGTTCCACGACAACTAACCGCTTCATTAGTCGTGGGGAACGACTCTCAACTGGAATGTAAAAACAGTGAATGCTGTGAGCTATGAGAACCAACATGAAGGATGATGGCAGGGGGAGGGGAAAAAATGTCTGATTCACAAACCGGCAGCAGCACAGTGAACGGGTTTGTTCTGCTTTCTGTGCGGAAAAACTATTGACGCCAATTAAACGTGATTTGACGTCAAACACGCTTGATGAAAACGGCGACAAAAAGAACAATTATGCCCCGGTGAATATGCGGTAATGCTGGTTTGTTCTCTTCACAAGTAGCCGATCTTCTTGTTGTTTACATTGAACATGGTGGCTCCCATTAAAGGGTGACCATTTTTTTTTCTGTGTGCACCAGGAGGCTGTTGCTATGGAAATAGAAGCGCAGCAGCTATGATAGGCCATTCATGTTTGATTAATTGGTTTTTCAACGCTTCTTGGCTTGTGAGGACCCATAAAGAGCAAGCCCGTGAAAAATGGAAAATTAATGGGTTTCTATTTCCTACTCCCCCCTTTACTCTTTTATTCACTTATTTTCATGAGGCTATTTCACCGCGGTGAAAAAAAAAGTGTTTTGAATTATGATTGGAATTTATTCGAAATGCAAAAGGAATGTCTTTGTTCATGGCGCAAACACAGAAAATGATGAGTTGGAGCCTCATGCAGCATCACTTTGTTGTTGTGCTTTTTTTTTTTTTTTTTTTTAACTCAGGCAATCCGCTGGAGGCCTATTATGATTAGAGAGCCTTCATCTCTAAACCTCTACTCGTGTTTATCAAGATCTCATACAAGCCACGGCCCTTTCAATTTGATCTTTTCCAGCTGAGGCACTAACGTGTGATACATTATTTAAGTCATAAATGTTTAAAAAAAAAAAAAAACTAAAAAGCGCGAACAAATGCTTGCTCATCATTTTCTGATTGAGTAAATTGGCAAATGTTTCCCCATTTATGGCTGCATTAAAAGCATGCCTTCTTGCGTTCTGTCTCGACGCATCTCCGAGAAAAGTATTTGATGTGCTTATTGTTCGCGGTTTTTGCAAGGGGCCTTTTAAAAGCTCTAAGAGCACAACGCGGTGGGAGTTCTTCTGTGAGCACCCTTGAAGGGAAAAAGGAGGCTGAAGCACGTTCTCCGTTGTGCTTAAAGTCGATCTGTGGACCAAACGATGCTGGCGAAACTGACTGAACTGTTGCGCAGCCTGTAGGGTTCGGCAACTAGTTTTCATGAGTGACCGAGCGTCGGCACGCTGTTTTCGCTGTTCAAAATTGAAATCGCAAGCGAATGTTGCATGATTAACAGCCAATCAAAACTGCACATGAGCTTTCACCAGTAAAGCGAGACCGACCAAACTATTACAATATACCTACAGTTGCTATACACTGTGTTTTATAATAATAATTACCTTAGATTTATAATTTAATGTGTACCTGCGGTTAGACAGCAAAGCGCAGAGAGTCTCTATCTCTGAAAAGCACTGTGGTGCAGTCAGTGAATGGGGCCGATCAATCATCATCAACAGACTCTCAAAATATCCCCCCTCTCTTCCTTATTCCTGCCCGTTTCCTCTCTTTGTGGCAACCCACTTCCTTGAAAATTGTACCATGTTTTTGTGGTTCAATAAAAAAAATGAATACACTAATAATAATAATATAATAATCACTTAGATTGGCTGTGGAACCTCAAAACCCCGATACATGGTGTGTAGCTATAATTTTTGGAGCGCAATTTCAATGCAATGAACTGGATGAATGAAAAGATTCACAGGCATAAAACCAAACATGCAGACAGAAATGTCAATTTTAAACATTGCTGGTTACCATCGGGTTAGTGTATGTGTCAACGTTTGCGATTTTCATTGCTTCCAAAAGAACATGAGGTATACTTATGACATGAATCACCTTAACCCCAGATGAGTACTTTGTTCTTATGTGAAACTCATTGAAAAAAAATCCCAACAGTACCCCACAACCTCCGTTCAGTGAAACACTTACAGTATCGTAAGAGGGTTTCTTCCCTCTGTCCACTCCCATTAGTTGATCAAATTCATGATCTAGCCTCTCTCAAAGCGACAAATGCCATCACCTCGTCTATTTGCATATTTGGCTGATTGGCATTTGCATAATCATGGGCTGCAGAGAAGATGATACTGTGGTAAAGCTGGTCTTCTTCTCTCACCCCAGATGCACGAGATGGCTTTGCACCGCCACCACCACCTCCACCAACAACAGCAACAACACCATCACCACCACCAGCAGCACCACCCGGACGGCGTTCGTTACGACCCCGCCCGTAACCACCCCCTGATTAACCGCTCGACTCCGATACGATCCAACCCAATGAGCGCGCTGTCCCAGCTGAATCCTCAGCTGGGTCGGAGCTCGCTTCCCCACGGTTCTCCCTCGCCTCCCGGAAGCAAATCGGCCACACCTTCCCCCTCCAGCTCAAATCAGGAGGAGGAGACTGATCCTCATTCAAAGGTATTGACGTGGCTCACGGTAGCAAACCTGAAGGTGTGTCGTGGGGACTTTTTGTCCAATTCAGTGTTTTGGGAAGGGTGTTCAAGGTACTTTGGATCTGTCGAATGAATAAAGGTCGAGTTTGCCAGACATTATCTATTTTCTCGTTAAAATTGGGCAAGGCTACATGCTTTCACCTATTCAGTCGTATCAACTTCAGTTTGATATATTCTTACTGTATTTGGCCACATGTCACATCGATCTGTCATTCAAAGCAAGCTGGAAAAAAAATCACATCTTTTACTCTGTACTACAAGGTGCCTCATTGCTGGAATGGTTACCTGGTGATAATGGTATGCTTGTAAAAAGAAAGTGGATGTGTATGAGATATAAATATTTGAGTTGCACATGGTTTCATTCCAAGCAGCACAATGAAGTCGTGTTTCGCACTTTTGCCTCGCAGTCAAAAGATCCGTGTTATGGTTAGCTTGTTCTACTGGTTCTCGAAACCAGTGATTTCCAACTTTTATTGATCCAAGGCAAATATTTTGAAGTTTGAAAAACCGCACGGCACACCACCAAACAAAATTGTAACAAAAAGAGGATATATACATCAATTTCATACTTTTTGCCGTCGAATAGAAGATTATTCATGTATTCATTATTTATTTATTTATTTATTATCACTATAATTTGCTGGCATAGATAGAGGGACAAAAAACATTATTTGTTATTATTTTTTCAACAATTAAGTGAAATTTGATCATTTCCCGCGGCACATCATGAGAGCTCTCACGGCACAGTTGTTGGGAATCACTGCTCGAAACCGAAGCTCCTTAATTGAAGACTCGAATTTAGACATGCATGGGAATGTGAGTGTGAATGGTTGTTTGTCTGCGATGTGTCCTGTGACTCACTGGCGACCAGTCATGGTTGTCTGCCATTTGTCTCATCAGAAGTCAGCTGCGATAGTCTCCAGTTCAGCAGCCGTAGCACTAATGAGGACAAGTAGTATAAAGATGCATGGATGGATGGCTGGTTGGTTGGTTGGTTGGTTCGTTGATTGATTGTTTGGATGCACCCTGTGAGTGATTGGCAAGCAGTCCAAATTGGTCTCCCGCTTCTTTTGCGAACAAAAGAAGCTGGGATAGACTCCAGCTAAGAAAAATGGATTGATGGATAATGCAAATCCTTTTGCTATATTATTGGGCCTGGATGATGATCTTGAAATGCACCTTGGGCTATACCGGAGGATGAATTTTTTTTTTGTTTGCATGCATTTGAGTGCTAAATTGTAAGGCGGTTGTCATAAATTGCCTATTGGCCAACATGTATGAGTGAACGAACGTGCTTTGTTTTCATCAGAGAACACACTGAGCTTCACATACATGGAGGGATGCAAACGAGCACTTGGCGCTCTTAACACTATTAGACATTAGAAAAGCAAACAATCCCGGAATATTTCCCCTTCTCCGCGTCTGCGAATAAAAATGATTAGCATCTCTCTCGCTGTCTCTATTGATAAAGTAATTCCATTTGCGCTCTCCACTCCTCTTGTGAGACCAGCATCAAAGCTGGAGCTGCTCCAGCAGGTGATTTAAAATTCCTCTTGCCCAGAAATGTCCAATTTTATTTATTTATTTTTTTGTGTAACTTGTTGAAGAAGATTTAATGGATTTGGCTATTGCGTCATGCTGGTAGAGCACCAGGCCAGTATTTCTCCTAAGAGTTCTACAGAACGTAGTGGATGAGAAAGCTTTTTTTAAAACTGTGATTTCAAACGCCTTGTTTTTTTGCTTTTTCCCAGATGACCGGTGAAAAACGGCCATCTTCCGAGATGATGAAGCCTAAGCCCAAACCACAGAAGAAAAAGAAGAAGAAGGACCCCAACGAACCAACCAAGCCCGTGTCCGCGTATGCGCTATTTTTCAGGGACACCCAGGCGGCCATCAAGGGGCAGAATCCAAACGCCACATTTGGTGATGTATCCAAGATTGTGGCTTCCATGTGGGACGGGCTCGGAGAGGAGCAGAAACAGGTACGCTCTCTTGGAACAATAAAGCGGCACTACGTAACGGTAACAGAAAATGTAACCGTTTAGCCCCCCCGACCCCCAAATTCGTTGTAATTATTTTTGAAAATTCAGCCCTCAAAGCTAGTTTGACTTCGCAACCTGGAATTTTGTAGGCCTGTCCATCATGAGTCGACCCACAAAAAAGTCTCAAGAATCTGAGGGAAATCAAGCATTGATTTCAAGGGAGATTTTTCAAGGGGTCAAAAACAATCGTAGCCAAAAGATTTTGGGTGATTACTATCAAATTTCAGCCATATATACTAATCAAATGGGTGACTCATTGTTGTGAAACTTCTCAATTTTGGGCATTGCTGGTGGGGAGAGTTTGGCAGTGAAGTCTGATGGCTTGCTACAAAACACAAACAAAACCCAGAACTTGTATCCTTTTGGCAATGTAAATTTGGCAGACATGTAAATCCACAAAAAAGGTCTCAAGAAACACTGCCTGAAAAGGCACAAGGCACATGGACTCAACTATTTTTGTTTGCATTGGCCGTGTCAAATGGGACTTTGGCCTTTTCCAAGAGTCTTTCAAAAATAACCTTAGCCAAGGGATTTTCTCAATTTGCTATCAGTTGAACCACCAATTGGTGCCCAATTTGGGGTTATTTTGGTTATTTCCGGTTGCTCTTCAACAACAAACATTTGTTTTTGTCATTGTGAGTTAGATGACTTAAAAAAACACAATTTTCTTTTGAGAATTGAACCACCACAGCACATATCTTTTAGCCACTTGAAATTCGGTTGCCATGTGTATCATTAGCAGATCCACAAAAAAGTCTGAAGAAAAAAAAAATTGAAAATTTGTCATTTCGACCATCTCCTGGATCTAAATTTGAACCATGCATTATGAGTAGACCCACAAAAAAAGTCTCAAGACTGACGCTTGATAAGACATGAGAAATCTGGTTGTAAGCAACCATATTATGGTTATTTCGGCCATTTCTAGGTAAATGGCAGTGAACTTTGATGATTCATCATAAAACATAATTCAGCCCTTGAAGCATGAAATCCTGAGCACATAAAATTTAGTGGACATAACTCTCATGAGTAAAGCCACAAAAAAGTATCAAGAAGGCATGTCCGAAAAGCCATAAATAATAAAACAAAATGAAAAACAGGTTGTCTGAGTAAACCCATTTGATGCTCACTGAGATGAAATCCTATAGAAAACGTAACTGATGATTTGACACAAATAGGTTATTTGTAGTTTGAGTAAAAGCTCTCACCTGACTGACAAAAGGCCTCAAGTTGACTGTGTGTTTGTGTACCACTGAACACACTCGAGGTGCCGGACTTTGGAGGCTGTCTGTCGCTTTTATTCGCAGTTAATTTTTGCCGCCTCCACTGCTTCTCCTAGCCATGAATCTTCATTTGGGTGTCTGACACCCCTGAATGTGAATCCCTCATTTCCTGTCCTTTTATTTATATGTGTTGCTGGGTGATTTGATCACGCCGGGGGAATATGCGATTAGCAATTGCATCCGCGTCCTTGGTTTGGTCTCAAGGACATCTTCTGCTGAAATGTTATTGTTTGCCGCCTTGCTTAACCTTTCTACATGCCCGATGCTTCCAAAAACCTTCACGGTGTTACCTGGAAAGAGAGAGGGACAAAAAAAGGGGGGAAACCTGCCATTTCACTATTTTTAGTCCCGATTTTGTTTGCTCGTTTCTCACTTTCATCAAACGTGTCACCTCGTCGTTGTGCTAAGGCCGTTGTTATGGCGAGAAAGTGCTTTGTCCGTCGTCGCAGTGATTGCTCTCTTTCTTGAGCTAACGGGTAAAATCATTCGAATGAATTAATCGCAAAAGAGCATAACAAAAAAAATTATGTCCAGCGTTGCAAATTAACAAAATGACAAATTATTATGGCATGAGCTGTAAAAGCTAAAACCAATGCCCACAAATGATCTTTATTGAATTCATAGATGGGTAGGTAGGCAGGCATGCAGGCAGGCAGACAGATAGGTAGCTGGACAGACGGACAAATAGATAGATGGATAAATAGACATTACTTCCATGAGGAAAATTAAGGAAGGAAAGAATGCTCATCAGAGAGCTACCGTAGAAAGCTCAATTTGGTGTCCCCCAAGGTTGACTTTAAGGTCCCATACTTTTTAATAAATTTCGCGTTAGATAGGGATGAAACAAAAAAACAAAAACGCCAATTTGAATCAGAAAATCTGTTTAGATTGAAAAAATGTGAGCGCATTGAATGAAATGAATGAATCACAGTGAATCGTCTTTTATTGGAGGGATATATCTTTGAAGGAAATACCACAGTGACCGGACTGAGAAGTTCATTCATATCTATGTAAAACCAACATGTCCAGCTCCGGTCTTCGACGGCCGCTGTCCTGCATGTTTTGTATGTCTCTCCGCTCTAACACACCTGATTCAAATGATCAGCTCTTCAGCAAGCTCTGAAAAAGCCCAATACAGTAACGATCCTGATCATTTGTATCACGTGTGTTAGCGTAGGGAGACATATAAAACACACAGGAGAGCGGCCCTCGAGAACCGGGTTGGAACACCCATGATTTAAAATGACAACGAGAAACTCATTGCATCATACCTTCACGAAATGAGCCGTACCACATCAAATTGAATCGAAATGCCCCTGAATTGAACTAAATCAAATCGTTCAACTTTAAAATCAAGCCGTCCTTGAATCGTATTGTACCCCATGTATCGAAATACGTATCAAATTATCTATTATGGTAGAGGTGCACACCCCTAATAGATAGCTAGATAGATTCATTGCTGTTGACTTCTGATATTGTACAACACAGATGTTCTAACACTCAGGCCCACCAATAATCATCAAGAAAATGTTTGAAGGATATAATGTGTACTGTAATAAAGTAAAACACAATGAGTAAATAATTAAATCAGCACCATTCGCTCCTGATGTAGCTGGATGGTGTGTTCAAGGACACTGTCAATGGCTCTGTGTTAACAGCATTTTCCAATTAGCTGGAGTGGGCTGTTATTTTCATTCAACATGACAAAAGTTTCTTTGTTGTGGCCTTTATCTCTTTGTGATTGTATAGTCGACAGTGTTGTCCTTGAGTTTTCTTCTAAGCATGTTTATGTTTATACTTGCCTTTTTGTTATTAAAAACACCATATTTTCTTCTTATTAATTCCCAGAGGCTTTTGCAGTGCGAGATCAATGCATTATTTGGGTTGTTTTTGTCCTCAAGGTTACGTCATTTTAAAGCTGCCCCAGAAACCACTAAACCACTTTCTTTTGTTTTGGGTTAAGATTAAGATATGTTTTGGGGTTTTTTTTGTTTTGTTTTTGCTGGTTTTTTTTTTCAGCACAGGAAAGAATGCGGCAAGTGAAGTCTTGTGAAGGTTAAGGTTAGATATTACAGTACACAGATCTTAAATGTCTCCCTACTAAATCTGTTTTCTGTAAATTCTTTGTACTTCTCTCTGTTTATGTTATTGTCGCTGATTGTGGGGGCATCAACATGCCGAAAAACTGACCAGTCTGGCAAGTGTGTGAATCTTGGTGAAAATGTCTGCATTTCAGAGCTACCCAACACAGCCCTGCAAAAGTGATTAACGAGCACCCACTGCAATGTTTGGGGGAAAAAAATATCCCCCAATACCAGTGTCACCGATTGACATGAAATTTTATATATATATATATATATATTAGGGTGGTCCACATTTTCATGGCAAAAAAAAAAGTTTGTCGGATTCGTCGGGCCGGGTCGGAATTCTTGTCGATACTATGGTACAAGGTTCTGTGCAAAATTTCATTCCGATCTGATGATATTTTCCTGTCCCGCAAAGCGGCCAAAGTTTCCACCATAACAACTGGTCTCAATAGGGTGAACATGTGTATTTTAACCGTGTATTTTGCCATGCGTGACACTGGCTGGGCTGAATGTTGCCCGAACGATCACCTCCTGACTAACTAACCCTTCCATCGCTGCTCTCAGCAGCCGGAGACAAACTCAAACGCACGCCTAACACACAACGGTCACCTACTGGCGAGCTAATATCTTTCAATTGAAGTCGAGAATCGCCGGAATTCTTACTGGACGCTGAGCTGAGGACGCTTTTCGACATCGAACATCACCACGGCTCGTCGGCGCGCTCGTCACCTACGGGTGGTGAACGACTTTGCGGAGAGGGGCGTCGCCCTCATCAGCGCGTTCTGCGGCGCCATCACGCGCGACGAGGAACAGCGACAGCACCTTCTGCAGGTCGTGGAGCGACACCGGGCGTTGCACCCGTGCGCGAAGTAGGCATGGGATGGCACGCACGGCGGATTTCGTTTTTTTTGCGGTCTAACAGTGTCACTAGTGTTGATGGACATTATAGACAGATGGACAGATAGATAGATGGACCAGTTAACATGGACCAACAATCTCACCAGTGTTGAAGGATAACCACGGTTGCCTTTTTTGCAAATCATGCGTTCCTGTCTTCCGTCTTTGAATTATTGCAAGTGCGAACTGAGCAAAACAAAATCCTTACTGTACGGGAGAAACCGTACTACCATTCAGCCCCGTAACATTCTTTCCATAGGGGAAACTTTGGTCGCTCTGCGGGACGGGATAAAATTATCCGATCGGAATAAAATTTTGCACACATCCTTGTGTCATAGTATCGACAAGATTTCCGACCCGGCCCGACGAATCCGACAAACTTTTCCAAAATGGACCACCCATATATATATATATGTACTGTATATACATACATACACACACACACACACACACACACACACGCACACGCACACACATACTCCTATACAGAGAGAGAGAGAGAGAGAGAGAGAGAGAGAGAGAGAGAGAGAGAGAAAGAGTGGATTTTCTCTGGGTTTTCTCCAAATCGAGAATTTCTCCAAATGAGCCCTAAGTGTTTGTCTGTGCCACTTGATGATGGCCAAGGAAAAGCTCGTGCGAGGGCCTGTTCATCACAGCTTTAATCGTCCGTTGAGATTGTTTCTTCTTCATGCCCAAGGCTCATCACTCAGCTGGCTGTCGGCAGGGTGCAACGTTATTGTCTCCTGTAATTAAGTGCTTATCAAACAAGCGCATTTCATTAAGCTACAATTAAGAGGCTAATTCGAGCGGCATCACCTCTGTGTCAGGGTGGCGACGGTGGCGTACGTTCGCCTCTTACGGCTTTAATTCGCCCTGACCCGCAACCTCCCGACATCAGCGAATGAAGCCACTCTTTTTGTGGTGATTACACATCCTTAGGCAGGGGTAATTTATTCAACAAAAAGTCAGCGTCGCTTTGAAAATCGTTAGCGGTGTTGAAATTAATTTGAAACGAAAGCTGCTGGGACTCGTTAGAGACGTTCGTTTTAAGTGGCTGCACCAACTTTTTGTTTTTTCCACTCCTACGGTCCACCTACAGATTTGAACTGTCATTTACATCTAAGCCATTGTAGTAAACATAAATAGACACATCATGCCTGCTCATTAACTTTAATGAACAACTTTGAGCTGTAACACCAGCGCTGACGCTAGCGGTAGCACAACATGAGAGATGTCCTGGCTGCTACATCACTGTCCTAGACCACTAAAGTAGACTAGAATTGCACGCCCACAACATTGTCGCTATGATACTGAACCAGTATATGCACATGTGTGTATGGCTGAATAAAATCAGTGAAAATTAAATCAGTCAAAATAGAAATTTAAAATGTATTAATAAGTATGCAAAACCGAGATTATTTAATTCGAGTCGTCATTTTTTGGAGTCGGCGACAACCATTGAAGGTTTAAATTCAATTTCTTCCCAAAAATCGTCTTAATAGTCTTCTGTCATGAAAGGTAAAGAGTCATCTTGTAAATAGAGCTGAGCAAGAGGATAAACATCAGCTGTTTGGGCGGGAGATTGTGTCCACCTGGTTTGCCCGAGTGTGTCTCTACGTGTTTGTTTCTGTGTTAGGAGTGGCTGACAGCCGACGCGACATGTGCTGTCGTAGCGCATGAAAGCTTAATGGTTATTCGAGACCACCTCCTGGAAAGAAAATAACCCCCCCGCCGCACACAGCGCTCTGGAGAAAGATCACTACTTAGCCATGACAACTTCACTTCATGAAACCACACTGAAAAAAATGAGATTTGAGTGCAAATCTGATCAAAACGTCTTTTGATTTACATCCATTGCTAACATTTTATAAAGCATTTTGTAAGACATACTACATGGAGGAGGTGAGGAACTTTGAAGAGTTATGTCATCAGGTAGTGAGTCAGTTAGCTAGTTACCTGGGCAGTTTTTAGTACTTTTGAGCAAACATCTTCACGTGCGTGGGGGAAGCCGAGTTCTCCTGAGCTAGCTGACTCCATAAACTGTGACGTGACAGAATATAGCCAATCAAAGAAGTCCTTTGACTGGCGAACGAGGATGCGCCGGTAAATAAAAAAAATAAAATAAAATAAAAAAAGAGTAATATCCTACTGGATGTTCATCCATCCATTTTCTGAACTACGTGCCTTCTCTCAATCGGTTCGCGGTAGTACTGGAGGCTAGCCAAGCCGTCTACGGAGCCCCCAAGGTGACATGGATTGAAGGGGATTAAAAAAAAAAACTAAACTCAACCTAAATGACGAGGTGACATGTTTTTTAATGTGTATTTATGTACCTTCGGATCATATTTTGGGTGAAAAAAAGCAACACAGATTGAGCATTCTCTTTTCATGGCTTTTTTTTTTTTTTTTAACTAAACGTGGATTCTGCAAACGGTAACTATTTCCTTGCTGAAGTTGTCACCTTTTAAGGATGAAGGTACCCGTCACCAGTCGTGTTCGGAAATATTTGGCAACTATCGGCACAGACTCGGAAGAGTCTAGTCGTCTTTGTGTTTGTGAAGTCACGTGAGATCACACGAGAGCTCTCACAAGTTTCTTCACCAGTGTTGGAAGAGAATCTTTGTGTGTGGGGCATGCCCGGCGCTACACCCGAGCGAAGGGGTGCTATCGCCCCGTCAGAAATCTGTCAAGCCCCTCCCACAGCCCCTCAACCAATTTATGTATTTATTTAGTTAAGTAGTTCAACCTTTGACAAGTGGGTTAATTACCCAGTCAGCCAATTAGGTAGTCAGCTCGGGAATAGTCTCGTGAGTTCGGAAGCTAGTCATTGAGTTACTACCAGTAGGTGACTCTGCAGGTCAGTTGGTGAGTAAGTTGTCAAACCAGTTGATTTGATGAGCCAGTTATTTGGCGAGTTGGTTAGTCAGTTAAAGCCTCAGTCATTGAGGAGGTGTTAGCTGGCTAGTTTGTTAACAGGATAGCAGACTCATTCAACCAAATGTAGCATTGTGATCCATAAGTAACACCCTTTAAGTGTGTTGACCTCGTGATGTGTGCTCACTTTGTAATCAGCTGTTCATTCTTGTTGTTGTTTGTTCTCACAGAACTACAAGAGGAAAACAGAGGCAGCTAAAAAGGAGTACCTGAAAGCCTTGGCTGCCTACAGAGCCAGTCTCGTTTCCAAGGTAACAGTGTGTGTGTGTGTGTGTGTGTGTGTGTGTGTGTGTGTGTGTGTGTGTGCGCGTGTGTGTGCGTGTGTGTGCGCGTGCACAGGTGTGTACATGCGTGTGTATCTGGAGGTCATGTCTTTGATATACATGGGTCAGCAGTGATATAAAGGATGATAAATTAGACCATGAGAAGGAAGAGGAAGCATTTGCTGCACTGAGGCATTTGTATTTGTGTGTGCTGCCCGCCATACTTCACTCGAGTCCAGAAAACAAGGCTGTCTTTCTCCATTTTTCCACACACAATGATGTAAATAAGTAATCAATTAAAATCGCGAACATCAACAAATGCAAATACTACTTCTGTAGATAAGTCATTTTGTTCTGTCATTTTCTAAATCACTAGTGGTAGTTATAACTTATCAAGTTATAGTATGTATAGAGTGATTCATTTATATAATATCCTGACAAAATACAGTCAATGATAAATAGCACATCAATATACCAATATACATCTTTATCATACACACTCACACACACACACACACACACACACACACACACACACACACACACACACAAAGATAGATAGATAGATAGATAGATAGATAGATAGATAGATAGATATGGAAGGGAGGATTTTCGACTTTTTTTATTATTTCAAAAATAGTCACATGCCACGCATCATAATGCATTTGTTTTTTTTTAATCTGCATTTGCACGTGTGGCTTCCTCGTGTAACATTTTCAGACCTTGTCTTCCGAAGCGCAATCATTCCTCCTGCATTGTTTTCTTTCCAAACGCGACTCCAAGTGACATTTCCATACGAAGCCCCACCCGTCCGCGCCGCGCCTCGTTTCCTCTTCTCGAAACAAGCACCTTGATTGAGGCATGAATAGTTCATTCATCAGCCTCTTGACAGTGGGCGCGCTTTCGGCTCAAAGCCGCTTGTCGAAGCTCAATTACGCCTTGATTGACGCTATACATTAAGAAGATTGCCAGTCAAAAATAAAAACTTTGTCAGCCAATCAGACGGCGAGATGATTGAAATGAGACTTTTGACTGTAAGTGGATGTGGAGGTAATCGTGACTGCGCATCCTCGTCGTGCACCTGTTGCCTTTATCAGTTTTTTTTTTTTTTTTATGTTTCGTCAACAAATGTCGCTAAATACTTTCTGGCTTGAGGAAACTAGAGAAAAAAAATCTTTTCACCATCACCGGTTTAAAAATGACTCTGAGCCTTGGATGATTTTCCTCGGATGAATCGGAAATCGATTGAATGACCGATCCTCTTTTAAGTAAAAATTCCTGCCGCCATATTTCTTAAGACACTATTTCATTTTCCATTTGGCTCTGCGATCACCTCTCCATCCCTCCATCCATCCATTCCTTCATCCCTTTACATTGATTATTCCGAGGGAAGAGAGTCGGGGGTGTATATCACTCTACCCTGTTTGACATTTAATGAGAAGGAGCGCTTGTATGTCACACACACACACACACACACACACACACATATATAAAAGGTTTGAAGGAATAGAGAAGACTTGACACACATTTGCGAGTGTGTTTGTACAGTCGAGCTGTTCATTCATTCCAGCTTTTTATCAATACCTAGCAATCTTATTATTCTTTGGATCAAACCTTTCATATAATGAAAATGTTTTGAAACAAACAAGGCTTCTGGATGAGGAAATCTTCATCTCAAAATGATGGAGATTCTTTAGTAGCCCTTATTGTGAATTATATTTAATGTTATTGTTATTCTTCATTATATAAATATGTCTGGTATTGTAATGGTAAAATAACAGCAATTGGTAAGACTGTAAGATTTGGTACAATTGTACATTTTTAATTCAGTTTTATTTTTGATTGAATGTTTGGAAACAAAAAATGACATTTTTAATGCAGCTTTTCCAAAAGCCAATTATAGAAAATTATGCTGTATGCAGCAATTTAAATATTCGTCTTATTATTTTTTTATTCTATTTTTCAAAACAACGTAAGTTTTTTTTTAAGACTACTTAAAAACAAATTATTGTTGTATATTTATCATTTATTTGCTTATTTATATATATGTTTTTTACATTGTTGAGACCTGCTACATTATTTGGACATTAGTCATACAGATATTATATATATATATATGAATGTGAATTTCTGGCAAAATGAAGATGGATACATTTAATTGTACTTTGTTTTCTATATATAAATTTTGGTGATACAGTATAGCTCCATCATGGACCATATTTAACTACATTACTTGAGCAAAAATGACCTAATTAAATGTATTATGATTTAAGTACTTGAACATACATCTCTGGATTGCTACCATATTTCACTCCATTGCCAGGCACACAATTGCAAAGTAAATATATTACAATGTTAATAATGTTTCATCCAGCTAGTGAATGTGGGTGTTGTATGTTTACTTTTTGTGTATATATAGAAAGGAAAAAAAAAAAAAGGAGTGAACAGTACTAGTGCTGGCAGAGAGATGTGATTGTTTGTTGGAACAATGGAGCGTACTGCTGGTCGCGCTTAGTTGCCTTATGCTGGCACGCCGCCTCACGCTGGCGTGTTTCACACCATTGAAACTTTGCTGTTACAATATCACAACACGAGGACAGTTTTGGCTCACATGGAGCGAGTCAAGTCAAGACAATGCACTCATTTACAGGACAGACTGCGCTGCTTCAAGCCTGTGGAAATATTTTTTACTAAAACGAGGCCGGTGTCACAGTCGCTTGCAAAATTTGCAAATCTGTCCTCAAATATGAGAAAAGCACAAGTACCATGAACGGCCATCTGAAAAAAAACAAAAGCCCTGATGGAGCAGTGAGAAGACAATATACTGTAGCATCTGCTGACACAATGAAACAGGCATGTTGTTGTCAATCAATTTTTTATTGTACAAATGAACAATTAATGACACCAAAGAAAACATCCAACCAGCGTAATAGTCAGTGTTCGTACAAAACCTTTATGATTCTACTTAGAAAGTAAAAAAATCATGAAAAGGCTCCTAGAACATGTGAAATGGATTGGGGGTAAATCAACTGGAGTGGAAACAATGCTGGTTTCATGTTCTGTGGTGAGTCATCAAAATCCACTTCCATACCCCGCCAACATGCAATGACAAATTTCAAAATCTTATTCAGCATCCAAATTTTGCAGCAAGCAGACAAATTCTTTTGGATGAGTTTGCCTTTGAAGAATGTCTGAAAATGGTCAAAATGACCCAAAAATCAAATGAAAATGACTGACTTCGAGTGCATTTTCGAGCATGCATTCTTGAGACTTTTTCGTCAGTGCACTTACTGTAGATGTGCTGACCAAATTTCATGTTGCACTTCTGATGAATGAAAGCAAGCAATTCCAAGTGTTGTTGTTGTTGTCCTCCGCAGACCTACAACGACCCCGTGGAGCCCAAAAGTGCCCAAACAAGCCAAGCGTCTCCTCACATGCTGCCCGCCAACCCCTCTCTGTACAGCGTGCCGCCCCCTCCCCAGCCTTCGTCCCCTTACCTGGGACCGGGGGCCTTCCCCCTCGCCGACCTGCAGAGCTACGCCGGCCACGCCCCCCGCCACGCCCTCTCGCAGACGCTCAGCCAATCGCAGATGCTGCCCAGCATTAGTGCCTCTCCGCCTTCCTCCTTCCAAATTAGCCCGCCGCTCCACCCCCACCAGCAGCTGTCCCTGCACCAGAGCTCGCTGCTCAACCAGCCAATCCGCATGCAGCAGGTCCAGTCCCAGCCAATCATCTCTCACCAGATGGGCCTTCAGGCCTCCCTTCACTCCCCGCCTCCGGGCCAGCAGGTACCATTCGCTTCTTCTCTGGACGTTCATAAAACTTGAGCGTGACATAATGGATTTTTCCAATTAATTGGCCGATTGATTTAAAAAATATATTATTGCGTCCGTTAACAACAAAAAATATGAATTATGGGTAGATTACAATACTTTGTCTTATAATATTTGGATTGAGAGAAAAATCTGCAAAATTTGGCCAGTTTTTGGGAGAGGCAATGTTTGAATGTCATTATCTTTGTTTCATGTTGTAATGTGTAAAGAAAAATAAAGCAGCACCAAAAAATCGGCGAATTTGAGCCAACTGATTAATCGCTCGGGTTCTACCTAAAATTTCTCTCATTCAGCAAGTTCCTCCTTCTTTAGGGCTTTCCCCACCTCCAGTCCGAGTATCAGAAGAGCATTGGGGGACCCCAGTCTCCAGGAGGGTCCGGGGGTCCGGGTCCGGGAGTTGCTCCGGGCCACGAATGGGATGGAGAATACTGCAATCGGGAGTGCGGCAACCACTGCAGGTAAGTGCAAATGGACGGAACACTTTGGGAGGATGCAGCGTTTGCTGTGAGGGTGACGTCCTAAAGTTTTGCTCTGATTATCATTCATGTAGTTTTTCTACTCCCTTGACCTACTTAAATCAATAGTGTTCTCACATAATCAGTACACAGTGTTTCCCCGCTATTCACGGGTGATGGGGAGAAAATAGTGAATATCCACAAGTAATTGATGGGGTTTATAATTGCCCTTACCCTACACAGTGGTGCCTTGAGAGTCAAATTACATTTCTATTAATCCCAGGAATCTGTTCCCACCTCAAAAAAAAGGTTTGCAATACAGTGGACATTGGACTGCTCCTTCTGGTGTGCACCTGAGGGCTGTATAGCACAGAAATGCAGATGTTCAGAGACAGTTTGAGCCTCTCAATAGTAAACTGCAGTAATATTAGTCAGTCTTCACAGAGAATCAAGAATGTATTCTTGCAAGTTAGTGGAAAATTAAAAATCACTTTTTTTTCTTGCTTGTGTGTACTTGAAACTTGTCCTGTTTCCATTTGTGTTCGCTGGTCTAATTTTTTGCTTATGATGTCTTTTGCAGCAGCAGCAGCAGCATGATAGGCAGGGACAAGCCCCTCTACCTCACCTGAACCCCGACTGGGACGTCAAACGCAGCCACCAATTGGCTCGACCGACCATCTCCTCTCTCCCTTCCCTTCTCCCTTACATACGTGTACATACGTGTACTTAAACATACAAACATGCCGCTCCACGCCATCGTTTCCTCTCGTGATGGGACTTTTTGGGAGGGACCGGGTGAGGGGCGGGGCGAGGAGGTAGGGGCCAATTCATGTATAAGCACTTACGCGAGGCCCCCATCACCCACTTCCGGTCGCTTTGTGGCAGGCAAGGACGGGTTATGGACTGCTTGTCCTTTTGTCCCCTCAGGGACCCCATCCAGCTTTAATTAGAGATACTTTGTTGTTGGTGTTGTTGTTGTTGTTGTTACTCATTTTATTTATTTCTGCCTTGCTTTTCCCCACCACCTTTGCTCTCAGAAGATATTTACTTCCACTTCTACGTTTGTTTTTGCTTAAAGGGGACATATTGTGGTCATATTTGACTTTTTAATGGTTGGATACAAAGGGTTGGGTCTCTGGAGTGCCTGTCCACCCATCAAGTGTGAAATTAAACGATCGAATGAATCTTAATGTTATGCCTATTTTCAAAAATCTGCCTGAGCGAGCCCTTAAAGCACGTCTGCCCCACTGTGATGTCACAAAGGGGCTAATTTGCATATTAATCATCCCAACATCAAATAACTCCACCAATGATGTAGCAGATTAGCATTAGCACACATTAGCTTCTTACACATAAAAAATGCTGGGTCGTTTCCGAACCCGCTCGCTTGGCAGCTTTGAATTTTGAGTTGGTTGGATTAGCTAAGGTTGGGTTAATTATTTTGCCTTATCTGATTGGGATCAGGATTGGATTTAGTTTACTTTTAAACCAGCAGTTTTAAGAGTGAACATAGCATGGCAAGAAATGTACTATAAAAATGTGCTGTAAAAATCTGTAATTAAATATTTTGTAAAAAGCTGAGAATTCTCCCTTCTTGGGATACACCTGAGACCCATTTAAAATTGTGGGGAAAATGCATCATATGTCTCCTTTAAGGCCCGTTAATTGTTCCCTCCTCCCCCCCTTCAAAAAAAAAAAAAAAAAAAAAAAACATGTCTCTTTTTTTCTATTTTAATCATTATTTTCAAATATTAACGACCTGTGGAGGTCCAATGAGCTGTCACACAGTGTGATTGTAAATACAACTTTTATGGGATCAAATGAGGAAATTCACGTAGGGTTTCTTGTCTTTAAAAAATAATAATAATACATGTAAGTCATTGAGAGCGAGAGAGAGAGCGAGAGAGACAGAAAGAGAGAGAGCGTGTGTATGTGTGTCTATTTTATTTTTTATTTTTTAAAACTGAATTCAACACACATTTCATTATATAGAAGAACATTAAAAAATGAACAATAATAATAATAATAACTTAATGCATTGCCTCAAGTAATTCAAATGAAAAAAAAATCTTATTTTGTCTCCCGTGAAGTCAATTTTAGAATTTACAGTATTTTTATTTTCTTTGTTTTTTTATTTTTGATAGGTTTTTGGTTGTGTTGATATTTTTTATTGCGTGTATGATTGACATAAAATGCATTTTACTGAAAAGCATTTTTTAATCCCCTCACCGTTTTAAATTGTGTTAAAAAAAGAAAGAAAAAATAAAAACAAAAAAGCCAAATGTGGATATATTATTTGTAAAGTCAGTAATGATAAATAATTTAAATGGTCAACTTTTTTGCCCAGCAGTCAATTACATTTATTTATGAGCAAATTGAATTACTTTTTTCCCCCTATTTAAAAATAGGTGTCATTTTGTTTTTATTTTGCTTTCTGTTTTTTTCTTTGGTTTTATTTTGTTTTGTTTGATTTTACTTTTATTATTTTGTAGTTGTATTAGTTTTAGTTGTTTTTTTTTGTTTTCTGGATTGTTTATTGTATCTTTTGTTTATTGTTTTTTGTTTTGTTTTATGTTATGTTTGTTTTTATTTTTTTGTTCTAGTTGTTTTATTTTAATTTGTTTTTAATGTTGTTTATTTTACATTGATTTATTTTGTTTGTTTGGTTTTATTTTTGCTTTTATTTAATTTCTATTAGTTTTATTCTATTTTATTTTTAAGATTTTACTTTGCATTTCACGTTTTGTTTCATTCTATTTTGTGGTATTTTACTAGTTTTATTTTTGTTTTAAGATGTATGTTGTTTTTTATTTTTATTTTATATTGTTAGATTTTGTTTTTTGTTTGGTTTTATTTTAAGTTTTGATTTTGTTTTATTTTTACATGTGATGAGCTTGTTGTTTTTTATATTCAGTTTATTTTCTTCATTTCATTTTGTTGCTTAAGTTTATTTTGTTGGTTTGTTTCAGTGTATTTTAATGTTTTTATTTTATTTTTGTTTAATTTTGTTTTCATGCACCCTGATCTGAGGTCTGCCCGAAGCAAAACGTTTCTTTTTCTTTCTTTTGTGCATTTGTAGCTGCTGCAGCATCTCTTTTCTGTCACGATGCTTCTCTTTATTTTCCCAACCTGCATTATGAAGACGATGATAATAAAAAAAATACTGAAAAGTGGCCATATCGCCTGACATGTTTTCATTTATGTACTTGACTAACCTTCTGATCTATTTGATTCGGGTATATTTAATGCCTTTGACTTGGCTCTTCCATTGCCAGCAAAAAAATAAATAAATAACAATCAAAAACAAAAGCAGATGTCTAAAAGAGAGCAAATGTGTGTGTGTGTGTGAAAGTTGTTCACGGTGGGGTGTGTCTCAACACAGCCAAACAGAAAGTGAAGCAAAAAACTGTTTCATTTCAGTTGGTCGGTTGGCTTTATTTTTAAATATGTTCATGTTTTTTTTTTTTTTTTTAATATAGTGTCTAGATAAGCTAGCTATGCCACACTTGTTTGACCGAAAGTAGTCATAGTGAACACTTAATAGACTGCAAGTCAAAGTGTTTTGTATCTTAACTCTAATTGAAGTAGAGCGATGGGCAACTAGGATAAAATGCTGGAGGGGGCCACACAGGAACATCAGTAATGAGACCCTCACATGGCTCTCTTTCTGCACCACGCACACTTTTTCCATAATTTTCTGGGAGGAAAAAAAAACTGTTCGGTCATGAAAGGAGTTTGCTGATATGTAAATTTATTTTTAAAGAAGTTTTCAATTTCATTTAAAATATCAGACTGTGTTGGTAAAATGTTTACATTACGTAATAATAGGAAAACATTTTTTTAATAATGACGCGTGACCCGCATCACCGGAAGTTGTTAGCGCTCAGCAGTCTGGAATTGCATCTTGCGATCAGAGTGGTTGAGCTATATCTTTTATTGTTCTTACTATTCTCATTCAGAGTTTGTTTCATGTACAATTCACCGAGGGCACGGGCAAAGAATGGGAATCTGGAGTTCCGAGAGAAGCATTTTCAAACGGTACACGTGAGCTACGATCGTTAACGCGCTGCAAAAGTGACAAATCGTATTTGCTTGTTCGACTAGCGATGCCTGCCCACAGAGCACAGAGCATATACGGAGCATGCGCAGTTGTTCGGAAGTCCGTCAGTTGGACACAGTGTTGTTACGTTCACTCTCCGACCACGTCGGCAGTCCAAAATAAAGAACCTCTACTCTTTCCAGAAGTTGTATGATTGAACGAACCCGCTTGCACAAAGCGACACATGGTGTCAGAAGTGGGTCTCTACTAAGGTAGGCAGTCATTTTGCTTTTCACCAATTCACACATTTTTGTGTCTACTTTAACTTAGGGGCCGTTATTGCTATTGCTCATCGGGGCATCCGTGTGTAAGTGCGTGCCGTCACGGGTCGATCGCGGGAGATCGAAAAGTAGATCTTGGGACAAAAAATGTTTGGCATCCCTGCTCCAGATTTTCCCCGGGTGTGATTGTGAGCACGAATGTTTGTCCATCTGTGTGTGCCCTGCAATTGGCTGGCAACAATTTCAGGTTGTACCCCGCCTACTTCCCCGGAGACAGCTCCAGTACACCAGCGACCCTTATGTGGGTATGCAGAATAGGAAATGGATGGAGAGTATTTAAGTCACTTTATATATCAAGGATAATAATGCCACCAAAAAAAACAAAAACGAAATAACTTGCTTATTTTAGGCGCCTCCAAGTATATTTTACTGATTTGGGATTTTTTTTAAATCTCCAAATATCAACTGAGTGGTCAGCATCATTATATGCTTTATGCATATATCAAAACATGGATTCAGGTCATTCATACCTGCATTTATTTTGTCCAATAGAGGTCAAACAGTAACTACTGTATATGAAATACTGCACTTCAAAACGTTTCTGTAACTTCAAATCATTTGAGTGTTTTTTTTTCTCCTCAATTAAAGCATGAGAAGAGAAAAAGTCGTTCTTGTTTACATGGGTGTCGCTTTTAAGGACTGCAGCAGGCAAAAGTGTTCCACTTGCGACTTTGGTGGCGCTGCGGTGAGAGCGTCATGTAGACAAAAATACCGGCGGCTTTGACAACAAAAAAAAGGTTGCACTTTTGGGTGCCTGTTAAGTTTGTAGCACAGTTCACATTGTTAAATCACATTGTTAAATCTGTTATTGTTTTACTGATCAGGTAGCACCAAATTTCCAAACTATAATAATTACGTGATGCTTCATATGATTTTGCAGCATTTGTTGCAGCTGCATCTTACATAGAGGGGGTGACAAAAATGTACCACAGGACAGGATGTAACACGCGAGGCTCAAAGCACATTTGTGGTTTCACGTCTCCGCTTTTGACATAACCTCCTTCACGTGCTGCACAGCAATTTCAATATCATCCCTTTTTCAAGCTTTTGTGCTATTCGAGCCACTGTATGCAATGTCAAAAGTCGATGCTTTTGTCTCTTGAAACAAGCGGGATGCAATTTTACAAATTCACAGTCCATTATAAAATATACGGTGAGAAAGACACTTTTCATTTAATTTTACTCAATACAGTGCCAGTTTATAATTTTTTATTTCACAAAGAAAAGGAACATTGGATGAGAAGAGTACCTGTATATCAAATCTAAAATAAATAAATCAATAAATAAATAACTCACTTATAACACAAGTTGCACAAGTTGGACTTTATTTCTTTGTATTTATTTCTCAACTACATGAATATATATATATATTTTTTTTTATTTTCTATAAGGTTATATTTTCATAAAAATACAAAAAATATATAACACATCAAACGTGAATGAAAAATTGTCGATGTACAAAATGGCATTTTAAAACGTATACTTAAATTCATTGGGAAAAAAACACCTAGATTAAAATTTTTAAAAATTACTTCATGAGATTGAATACATTTTTGTAATAAAATGATCACAATAAAAAAAAATGTGTATTCAGCTCTGTTTTAATATTCACCCTTTTATTGATAATAAATGTTAAATATATATTTACAAGAAAAAATATTTTGAAAAAAGGGACGAAATAATTTTTCCAAGCCAAAAACTATTTCACACTATGTAAAGTAGAACTTCATTTTCTCAGTCGTCATGTATTCGTCGGCTTCACTGTGACTCACATTTCTGTCGAAGTTTCAATCTCATGACCTCTTAACGATCTGTGGCTTTGAAAAGAAATGAATCGATTTTTACCATTTGCGGTCTACTGTTATGGCATTGTCTTCAAGTTTAATTTCAGTGTGAAGGGGAAATATGGTCAAGAGGCAAATGCTAATTGCACTTGAAAACTCTGAGCACATCTCATAGAGTCATGAGCCACATCTCGAGTGAGGAAAAACCTGAGTTGAATAGCACCAAGCAACTGTGGTGTCCGGCTGCGTAAAAATGAAAAAGACTCTCAAGGCTTTCTCCTCTCAGCACTTGTTGGCGTGAGTGGAAATGAGTCAAATGGAGAGGTATTTTCAAACCCCTTTACCGCTGTATAAAAGTCACCAATAATGCAGCGTCCCCATTTTGAATGCTTCCGACGAGCCGAAACAATAAGTGAGAGCCAGGAGGAAAGAGTGCATAAATGACAATGTTCAAAGTTTAGGATCATCAATTCACACTTACAAAAAGAAGCATATGTGTCTAATGAAAAGTAGGACT